ATACTATGAGCACCTATCAGCTGAGGCTTTGGCTACCGCCTCCACACTATAATTTCTCTAGTTCTCCCACTGAATAAACGGAGCTGTTTCACTGAGTCTGGAGCTGTATCACTGCATCTAGAGCTGTTTCTGTTTCACTGAGCCGTGGAACCAGCCTCCCCGGAAGGGCTTTCTTACGTCACTGCTCACTGGCTGTCCTGACTCCGTTCGCCGCTTCTGCTCCCCCTGCCCTCGTGGACCGGTGGCCAACAACCTGCGAAGAGAGGGAGAGACCCCCCGCAACCAAGGAAAAAAGAGAGGATCCTCTGAGAACCAGTATTACTATTAGACATGAGGCATGGTACAGCAATCTCAAATACAAAGACTGCAACCAGCCTGCTGGGTTTCCAGCTCAGGTTCAGTCCTTACTTAGGCAGATTCCTTTAATGTTCTATGCCTCAACTTTTCATAGGTAAAACAGAGACAATAATGACTTCCTCATATGGTGGTTTGGAGCATCAAATAACGTAGATCAAGCTCTTGACATTAAATGTGATGGCAAACACCTGTAATCTCAACACTCAGAAGGCTGAAACAGGAAGATCACAAGTTCAAGCCAGTCTGGGCTACAGAGTGAGGCTATCTCAAAAATCAAACATACAAACAAACCAGGATAAAGTGCTTAGAACAGTGACTGGCTCAGTGTATTTATTTATTTTTAATATTTCATTTATTTTTATTGTATGTTTATGAGTGTTTTGCCTGCATATATGTAAGTGCACCCATGTCATGCAATGCTCGTGGAGGCCAGAAGGTGGGTGTTAGGTTCCCTGAAATTGAAGTTACAGATGGTTGTTGGCTGCCATGTGGGTGCTGGGAACCAAACCCAGCCAGTGCTTTTTTTTTTTTTTTTTTTTATCTTTTTGAGACAGGGTCCCAGCTGGCCTGGAACTTACTTTATAGACCAGGCTGGCCTTGAACTCACAGAGATCCTTCTGCCTCTGCCTCCCGAGTGCTGGGACTAAAGGCGTGTGCCACCACACCCGGCTTGCAGCCACTGCCCTTAACCACTGAGCCATCTCTTCAGCCCCCCGCTTGGTGCATTTAACCATGCTTCACATGGTATCTACATTCTACCTGGTTTTGGAATCAGGGTACACTTGGTTCCACAGTATAGCCCCACTCTTCCCCTTTCAGCCTCAGGTTTCTCCTCTCTACATGGAAGAGAGAACCTCTTCTTGTCCCCGAAAATGGTTTGTGTATGGAGGCTTGGTCCCCAGTTGGAGGAGGAACTAAGAAGTGATTGTTGAGTGTGCTAACTTCATCAATGGACTAATAGCTGAATGGGCTATTAGGAGGTGGAGTCTCTTGTAAGAAGGTCACGGAGCATGCTTTTGAGGGTAGTAACTTTTCCCTGCCCCACCTCCTTGCTGCCCACAATGATATACCTTTCCTTCATATCTAGGACTTGTCATAGGCCTTTAAAAGCACAAGAGACAGCTGACTGGACTGAAAGCTCTGACACAATGATCTAAATAAATTCTGCTTCCCTTTTTACTATAGGTTTTGAATTTGATGTTCAAGGGGGACACTCAGACGGACTGTTGTTTTTATAAGAGATTTATCAGGAGTGATATTAATGCCATAGACAGCAGCATGACAGGGGCACTGAGACCAGTTCAAAACCTTTCAGTTACCTTGGGTATTTGGTCATAGTGACTAATGTACCCCTTTCCTTAAGATAGTATGATACACTGGGCATGGTGGGATATGCCTGTAATCCTGGGACTTAGAAGGCAAAGGCAGGAGGATCACCCAAGAGTTCCGAGCCAGCCTAGGTTACATAGTGAGACTCTCTCAAAAAAATCAATCAATCAATCAATCAACCAACACACCAATCAACCACTTGTGATATAGCAACTCATCTATGGGTGCCTGGCACGTTTTCTTCTCTCCTCACTTGGCTCCAGTTTTCTTTTATTTATTTATTTGTTTGTTTTGGTCTTTTTGAGACAGGGTCTCCCTGTAGCCTCAGCTGGCCTGGCACACGCTATGTAGACCAGGCTGGCCTTGAATGCACAGAGATCCACCTGCCTCTGCCTCCCCAGTGCTGCGACTAAAGGCGTGCGCCACCAATGAGCTTAACCAACTGTATTCTTATATAATATCCTGGTAAGGTTAGGTCATTAAACGTTCCCTTTATTTTACTTACTGGGTAATACCTTGAAATGTAACCCTGGGATGCTCAGAGATGTTTTATCACTCTGTGGTACTCTCACTACCCTAACATATTTCATTATTCTGTAAAGTCTTGAAACTTTGTGATGGTTTCCACTATGTCTGTTGATAAAGACACAAAACTAAAAGAATGCAAAGTTTACCAAATGGTTTAATGAGGCACCTGGTCCAATTAGTCCAAGAAAAATGTAGATCAAAAGTGTCATAAATCAGGCCGAGCGTGGTGGTGCACACCTTTAGTTCCAGCACTCGGGAGGCAGAGGCAGATGGATCTCTGTGAGTTCAAGGCCAGTCTGGTCTACATAGTGAGTTCCAGGACAGCTGGGGCTACAGGGAGACCCTGTCTCAAAAAGATCAAAACAAAACAAAACAAAAACAAAAGAAAAAAGTGTCATAAATTAAATTTCTGCTGATGATACCTGATTTTGTAAAATGACATTACCATTTGACCAGGTTCTAGATCAATTAGCCTAGCCTAGTTGTAGATCAAAAGGTGGCAGATGTCCTGACCCATGCCTGGGATATCTACTTTAAAACCTATGTTGGCTGAGTGAACTCAGGAAGGAATTTCCTGAGATAATATGGTCCATCACAAAAAGAAATATAGGACCCAGATATTAATCATAAAATAACATGAAATTGACTATAAAATCCTCATCTGAGCTGGGCATGATGGGGCTTGCCTTTAATCCCAGCACTCAGAGGCAGAGGCAGGCGGAGTTCAAGGCCAGCCTGGTCTCCAGAGTGAGTTCCAGGCCAGCTGGGGCTATAAAAAAAAAAAAAAAGACCAAGAAAAAAAGAAGAAAAGATCATAAGAGCCCATCATGTTCAGGTGCCTGCAAAATAAAATAACAGCTCAAAGCAGCCTTTGTCCTTTTCATAAGATTTATTTTATTTTTTATGTTTATTTATTGTGTGTAAGTATATCTATGTATGGGGCTAGAGAGATGGCTCAGTGGTTAAGAACACTGGCTGTTCTTGCAGAAGACCTGGGTTCGAATCCCAGCACCCACGGCAGCTAAAAACTGTCTATAACTCCAGCTCCAGGGGATCCGAAAGCCTCTTCCATCCTCCACAAGCATTGCATGACACAGGTGCACCTACCTACATGCAGGCAACACACGCATACACATAAAATAAAAATAATAAAATCTATTTTTTTAAAAAAAGTATATGTGCCGGGCGTGGTGGCACACGCCTTTAATTCCAGCACTCGGGAGGCAGAGGCAGGCAGATCTCTGTGAGTTCAAGGCCAGCCTGGTCTACATACTGAGTTCCAGGACAGCTGGGGCTACAGGGAGACCCTGTCTCAAAAAGACCAAAAGAAAAAAGTATATGTATGTGTAGAACTCAGAGGGCAACCTGTAGATCTGGTGCTTTCCTTCCATCATGTGTGTTCTTGGGATTGAACTCAGGTTATCAGACCCACTGGCAAAAGCCTTTACCTGCTGAACCAACCTGAAGGCATCTACTTCAACCTCCACCCGCTTTTTTTCTTTTACATTAAAAATAAAATTCACTAGAGTTTTTGAAATCACTCTCCTCTGCATTTCTATTTAACGAAGATGATTGCTGAGTTCAAGTGTAGCCTGGGGAATATGCATGATCCAGTCTCAAAAAAGACAGCAAAACAAAAACAAAAACTCAAAGTTCATATTTTCCAATAGAAGAAAACAGCTTCTGCAACACAAAGATTTAGGAACAAAACTAAGGCACCCTTCTCCAGTGCTCTTCCACTGCAAAACGCTAAAACGGTTCTAACAAAAGGGTGGCATCTTGGGGTACTTACAGGAAGGGGTGTGTATTTTCTGAAAGACTGCAGACTTGTTTTGAGACAGAGTCTCACTATGTAGCCCTGGGTGGCTTGGAACTTGCTCTGTAGACCAGCCTGGTCTTGAACTTGGAGATCCAAGTGCTGGGATTACGAGTGTGCAACAACATATACAGTCCAAAAACTGCAGACTTTTAAATACACTGAACACTGCTAGGGATCTAACCCAAGGCCTCACCACTGGGCTTATTACGAAGCCCTAGCTAAACACACCTACCTGCACTATGTAGAAAGAGCTGCGGTGTGGGTAGCTGAGGATGCCTTGACCTCCAGCCCTAGTAATGTTAAGAAATACATGTACGAAGTGCAACTAAGAGCCAGACATTAACTACTCTCCAAACTCCCGGAGACACCCCCCTCGCCCCCATTCAGACTTGCCTCCCCAAGTCCCTTTATTTGACATGGTTCTGGACCCAGTCTTTTCCGCCTTCACACTTCGGCTTCCTCATCTGCACAGGCTCCCTCTCCCCACGACACTGCAAACCTAACCCGGGAGGCCTCGATCCGGCTCGAGAAGAACGTTAGAGGAAAAGCCAAGAACAGTGAACATAATTCCTTTCCTCCCTCCAACTCCTGTAGGCCTTCCAAAGTAGAGACGCTTTCCCTGGCGACCCCAAAAGGTGTAGCCAGACCACAGAGCGTGGGGGTGTGACCACGCCAGGGGGTGTGGCCAGAGCTCGGGGTGTGACCATGCCAAGGGGGTGTGGCCAGACAGGAACCACACCCACAGGGGCAGGGCACCTCCGCCTCTCGCCACCCTGCGGCCTTGGGATGGGTCCTTAGTGACGTCATGCGCCTATGTAGCCATCCGCCTAAAGGAAAAGTAGTCCGCGGCCCCAGCGGCACCGGGCCCCCAAACTAGGCAGCACAAAAGATTCTAGAGCCCTTATGGACCCGCCTGCGTTTCTGAGGTCTCTAAAAACCTTCTGGAACCCCGAAAATCCGCCTTTCCCGGGCGCGGCGGAAGAAGTAGTCCCGGCCCGCGGAAGACCAATGGGTTCCTCCGCGGCGGGGCCGAGAGGATGGCGACCTCGTCGATGCCGGAGCCGGAGAGAGACGCGGCACCACGCCGCTGAGGTGAGCGGCAGCCGAGGGCGGGCTGCGCCGCTGCGCCCCGCCGTGCAGTCGGGCCCCGCCGGGAGGCTCCGGACGGCGATCTCCCGGGCCGGCGGGGCTGTCCGGTCAGGGCCCCGGGGTCCCAGGCCCTTTAGTCGCTCTCGCATCTGCCTGAGCGGAAACCCGGCGTCGCCACAAGATGGCGTCTGGCCTGGAGCGCAGGCAGCGCCGGAGACAGCCCCTAGTCACCAGGCCCCGAGACTGTCGCTGTCAGCCCCCTCCGCAGGGGAGCCCGGGGAGGGGGAGCGAACCACTGACCCCGGGGGCCTGCGGGCTGTACCACCGGCCCCGCCCCCGGGGGACCCGGGGCTGAACCGCTGCGCCCCGGGGGCCGTAGGCGAGCCGCGCCTAGGGAAGGAGGATAGGGCCGAGGTTGCCCGCCAGTGATCCCCCCGCCCCCACCCGCTGCTCGGGACTCTAGGTTGAGAGGCGAGCTGTCCCCATCTGCTTCTGGAAGCTTCCCTCTCCGTACGCGACGAAGCCCCGCCCCACCCTGTCCCGTCGATGTTCTGTTTTTGCATCCGCGGAATGGGCACACGGGTGCATCCGAGTGGGCCACCTTCCGGGGCCACTTGTTGCAGCCGTGGTCACATCTTCTGGCAGAGTGAAAGCCTCAGACCCTGCGCCCTGCTGTCAATCGGTCCCCTGAACCAATGGAAGAGAACGAGGTGGAGAGCAGTAGCGACGCGGCCCCACGGCCTGGCCATCCGGAGGAACCCTCCGAGAGCGGCCTGGGTGTGGGCACCTCGGAGGCAGTGTCCGCCGACAGCAGCGATGCCGCGACCGCCCCAGGGCTGACGGAGGCCGACGACTCTGTCGTGGGGCAGAGCTCAGACAGCGGCAGTGGCTCTGTGGTATGGACCAGGCTGGACGGCATGGGCAGGGGAGCAACCAGCAAGCCTTACTTGTAGCAGATATGTGTTCTTCCTGGGCTATATCCGTGTCTTGTAGGTTCTGTCGTCTAAGCTTCATAATGAAGGAGTATAGGTAAAGCACTTGTTTCCACATCCCGCAGAAAGGGAACCTGGGTACTAGCAGAGCCAGGATTCAAGTCTGTGCTCAGTTTCATGCACTCGGCCCAGGATCCTCATACTCTGATGGACTGTTGTGGTTCGCATGTTGACCCCATCTCACATTCACCACAGCCTTCCCATCTGTCAGGTGGAGCTGGAATGCCCTCTTCAGTGGGTGCTGGGTTTCGAGGCAAACACTCTCCTGAACCATCTTTCCTGACATTGTCTTCTTGAGCAAGCTTCCCAACTTCTGTTAAGCAGGAATGTGAAACATGCCTGTCTCTGGGGGTTTTACGAGGAACTTACAAAGTAGTGGTCATACCTGTGAGGCCACTTAATGGAGTTTGGAATCAATGGTCAGCACTGTGCAGCCCAGGGTTTCATGAAGTCAGCAGAGATGGGCTTTGCTCTGTGTCCATCATAGGCTAAATGACAGGTTACTGCTGGGAATAGGACAGGTGTGGTCCAGGCCCTGTGGAGAGCACAGTCTGACATGGGGGCATTATGGTAATGGGGAAATGTCTGTTAGGGTTGAGAAAACTGGGTCCATATTGGAAAGCTTCTACTGGAGTGGAGACCCAACCTGTCATGCCAACACAGTGATGGAGATGAGTGACCATGGAGAGGTCCTGAGTGGGCATCAGGGTCGGCTTGACGTTCTTGAATGGTGTTGATGAGACTGGGTCAAGCCAACCATGGGGTGATGCTGGATAAGTTTGAAGCAGTGAGAGGGGTTTATGCAAAAACCCAGTGAAAAATAGCCGCATGTGGCTGTGCTGTGGGGTCTAGAGAGGTACTGCCCTTACCCCGTGGTAGCTCCTGGCTACAGCCATGGGCTCAGGGCCTCTCAGTGCCTGGAGAACTCTCTTGGTCCTTTGGGGTTCAAGTGCGGGTGGCCCATTTGCTGTGTCCTCAGGCTGGAGAACTCTTGTCAGTGGAGCTGACAGACTGCTCTGTTCTGCCCTACTCCTGGCTCCTGAACTGCCTCCTGCTTCTTGCCCCTAGGAGGAGGTATCAGAAAGCATCTCAGCCGACCCCCTGCCACAGAGCTACCTCCCTGACTCATCATCTGTGTCTCGGGGACCAGTAGCAGAGGTGCCAGGTGGCCCCCCAACCCTGGTGCATTCCAGTGCTCTCCCAGACCCCAGCATGCTGGTGTCCGACTGCACGGCTTCCTCCTCAGACCTGGGCTCAGCCATTGACAAGATCATCGAATCTACCATCGGTCCTGACCTCATCCAGAGTGAGTGTGGAGAGGGTGTGACCCTACAGAATCTTACAGCTAACTGCACAGCCAGCTGTGTGAATGTAGGTTAATTACCTTACTGTGGAATGTGTAAGAGGGGAACAGTAATCTGTGTTCCAGTGGTAAATAACCAAACAAGATGCTGCAGTATGTTGTTAGGGTGGTGCCTACATGTCAGTGTGCTCAGTGTTAGACAGTTGTAGTTGGGTCCACAAGATGGCTCCAGGTAAAAGTGCTTGCCACACAAGCTTGCTGACCTGAGTTTGATTCCTGAAACCCACAAAAAGGTGAAGGAAAGAACTGAGTCCACAAAGTTGTCATTTGACTTCCATATGCTACTAAACACTTGACACACCCATATACGCACACATCATGCACACATAACAGTAATGAATTTTTTTATAACTTATTTTTACATTTTTGTGTATGAGTGTTTTGTCTGTATGTATGTAAGTGCACCACATGTGTGCAATGCCTGTGAGGTCAGAAGAGGGCATCAGATCCCCTGGAGCTGGAGTTATGCACAGTTTTAACTGCCATGTGGATACTGGGAACCGAACTCAGTTCCTCTACAAGGACCGCCAGTGCTTTTACCACCGGGCTATCTCTCCAGCCCCCAGTAATAAATTTTAAAAAGAGGTAGTTGTAGCTGGCTTTGTCCTGGGGACTCTTCTAAACACTTGACACACAGAAGATCACAGATCCGCCCCATGACCGCCCCCCCCCCAAGTAGGTGACTGGTAACAACTGTCCAGGTGAGATTTCTGAGGCACAGAGAACACAAAATGACTTACCAATGACACTAGCCAGTGGAGGCTGGTTCTGAGCTGACAGCCCAGACAGATGACCCCAGAGCTGAAGCTGTTAATTACCGTGCTGGGCCCTTTATGGTTAGTAATATGCACAGAGGCCCAAGCAGCTCACAAGCTCTGGCACAGTCTGAGAAGCACCTGAGAAAGTTATGCAGGAACTGGATACCTTGAGGAAGTTTGGAGAGGAGAAAGGAAGACATTCCAGGCCTGGTAGTCAAAGCCTGGGCAGCTGGGGTAGCCTGGCATCCTGGTGACTGGGCCAGTACATCACCTACTCCAGACCTCCCACCAGCACTGCAGTGGAAGTACAAGGCTCAAGCAGGTGATGCAGCTGGTCTCCGTTTGCCAAGTGGGGCCCAGGGGGTGTGGGCCCACAGCTAGGATCCCCCCCCCAGGATGGTTACTCTCTGCCTTCTCTGCCAGGCTGCATCACTGTGACCAGTGCTGAAGAAGGTGGAGCTGAGACCACCCAATATCTGATCTTGCATCATCCAGATGATGGTAAGACACCTGCTGCTAGACCCAGGGAGTCCTGTCATATGTGGAAGTAGAAGATAGGCCTGTATGTGACCCTAGCAGGTTACCCACTGCCCTGGCCTCTGACAAGGGGAATTTAGACCTGCTTAGGAAAAGTGTCTGTAGCTCATAGACAGTCCCACCTTCTGTCCTCTCTCCTGTCCCTAGGTGCCCCCATGACATCACCAATGTCCACTTCCGCCCTGACCCACAGCCTGGCAGCTATCGAGGCCTTGGCTGATGGCCCCACATCCACTTCTACGTGCCTTGAGTCTCCTGAAGAGCCCCAGGGAGAACCCAGCTCTCTGGCACAGCCACCTCCAGCCCCCAGTGCTGAAGAGCTGGACCTGCAGAACCTGGAGGCCATGATGGAGGTGGTGGTTGTGCAGCAGTTCAAGTGCAAGATGTGTCAGTACCGGAGCAGCACCAAGGCCACGCTGCTACGGCACATGCGTGAGCGGCACCTCCGCCCAGGTGCGTCGGTCTGCAGTAGCCAGCATGCCAGATGGGGTGGAACCCAGGGTTACTCATGGTAGTTTGTTTCACCTTCTTTGCAGCAGCGGCAGTGGCAGCTGGTAAAAAGGGGCGTCTACGGAAGTGGGGTGCCTCCACCAAGACCACAGAGGAGGAGGGGCCAGAGGAGGAGGAGGAGGATGACATTGTGGATGCCGGGGCCATTGACGATCTGGAGGGTAGACCAGCATACTTCCCAGCCCCTCTGTTCCCACACCCCACCCTTGTCTACAAATGCAAAACTCTTTCTGTGTGTAGAGACAGACACTAGTAGGCACCTCTAGCATCGGAGGCAGTTGGGCTATAGAACAGGCTGCACACTGAAAAACACAACATTGGGCCCATTTACATTTATCCAGCAGGAATACACTACAAGCAAAAATATATATGTGCTTTTCATAGCATTATCAATAGTGACTTATCTGTAGATCCAAAATACTTTAATGTATGGTCATTATAAAAATTATTAGTAAACTGGGTATAATAGTGCAGGCCTGTAATTTCAGCCCTGGGGAGGTGAGGCAGGAGGATCAGGAGCTCAAGATCACTTTTATTACATACTGAGTTTTGAGGCCAACCCTGGCCTACATGAGACCCCATTTCAACCCAGATCCAACCAAACGAAAACAATTTCACTTTTTACCTGTGTGCATCTATGTGCTTGTGTATGTGCAGGCCAGAGGTTGATTTCAGGTGTCTTCCTCAGTTGCTCCCTGCCTGATTTTTTGAGACAGGATCTCTCACTTAACCTGGAACTTGCAGATTCTACTAGACTGGCTGGCTAGAGAGTCCTAGGCTTCCTCCTGTCTCTGCCTCTCCAGTGCTGGGATTACAGGCATGTGTTGCCATGCCCAGCTTTTTTACATGGGTACTGGAGTATTGAACTCAGGTCCGCATGCTCGCACAGCAGACACTTGCTGACGAAGCCACCTCTGCAGCCCCCTTTTCACTTGGTTTTTAAATTTTTATTTTGTTATTTTTTTATTTATTTTATGTGTATGTTTTGCCTTTATGTATGTATGTGCATGCCTGGTGCTCACAGAGTCCAGAAGGTGGCACTGGATCCACTGGAACCAGAATTACAGATGGTTATGAGCCACCATGTGGATACTAGGAACTGAATCCTGGTCCTCTACAGAAGCAGCAAATGCTCTAACTACTGAGCAATCTCTTGAGGCCCCCCCCCATTTATTTTTATTTTTAATTATATGTATATCTGCAATACTTTCGGAGGCCAGAAGAGGGTGTTGGATCCCCTGGAGCTGGAGTTACAGGTGGTTGTGAGCTGTCAGATGTGGGTTCTGGGACCTGAACTCGGATCCTCTACAAAAGCAGTACATACTCTTAACCATTAAGCCATCTCTCTATGCTCCTTTTTTCTCATTTTTTTCGAGATGGCGGTGGGGGGGTCTCCCTATATAGCCCAGGCTGGCCTCAAACTCATGATCCTCCTGCTTCAGTCTCCTGAATTATAGGATTATGGATTTATACAACCACATCTGGCTTCTTTTTTCCTCATTTGTTTGAGATCCAGTGTGCATGTTATACCTAAGTGTTTCCAAATTGGACCAGGCTCGTTTTACTGCTCAATGTCCATGTGTGACTAGAGGCTGCTCTGTAGGACAGTTTGGGCTAGGAATTTGTAGACCCAGTGCTCACTGTCTGTTTTCTACCAGTGGCTGTAAGTGGCTTGAGACTGGGTACCTCTTTCTGCTTCACATTTGAGCTATTGGCAGGTGCCAGGAAAGGTACAGAGAAAAGCTTCTTAAAGGACGGATACTCAGTTCCCTGGAGGGGCGGGCACATAGGGTTTCTTGGAGGGGCACCTCACTGGTGGGCTTGAGAGAAGTAGGCAGGGATGGGGAAGTAATTTATTCAGCGGAGCTGGTTAAGGGGTCATGACCGGAGTATGGGTCAAGCCACTATCCTCTTCTGTCCCCACAGAAGATAGCGACTACAATCCAGCTGAGGATGAACCCCGAGGCCGACAGCTACGACTCCAGCGTCCCACCCCCAGCACCCCAAGACCCCGGAGAAGACCTGGACGGCCCCGGAAGATGCCTCGCCTGGAGGCCTCTGACCTCCCTGATGGTAAGATTTGCTCACAGGAAGAGCTATGTGGGAGAGTCACAAGTGGCTCTGCTGCTTCTGGGGAGCTCCAGGGACTGAGTACATGCACAGCAGCAGTGTAGCTGCTGGCTGAGGCCTCACAGGAAGGGCGTCCCACCCCTTACTGGAGAAACCCCAACTCTGGTGACCATTTAGGCTTTAGGTACATGCCTTTCAGTGACAAATCGTCATAGCTAGAGAAGAGTTTGAGCCTCTAACTGAACAGATAAAAGCGTTGAATGTTAAATGAGAAGAGCACCAAGTCTGAGCCAAGTCCTGAGCCCCGGACTGCAGGTCCTTGAGGAGCTAGGCTTTGAGCATTACAGTGAGCACAAGGATGTCCTGTCATGGCTTGTGAGTGCAGCCTCTGAACCTACCATCTCTGTGACTTGGGCCATATTGCTCTTTGCCTCTCAGATCTGCTGTGCTTTATGAGTGGAGGGGTGGTGGCATCTGCTTATGTGGTGGCTTGAAGAACTAAGAATACAAAGGCACCTGGTGGCTGCTGTGTGTGTCCGTTTGGAGAAATGGATAGACTCTGTAGTCTCCACAGAATAACTACTGAGGCATGTGTATGGAAAAGCTTTCATCCCACACAGGCCAGAGAGTGCTTGCAGGGGCTGGGCAAATGGCTCAGTGGGTAAGAGTGCTTGCTGTATAAACAAACACATGTACATGCATGCCACATCAAACCTGTGGAGGCATTACAACTTGGGGAAGTTGATTTCCTTCCCCCAGTGGGTTCTGGGCATAGAACTCAGGTAGTCAAGCTTGGTGGCAAACACCTTTACCCCTGAGCCATCCTGCTAGCTCCATTCTTAATATTTAAAGGTGTTTTTCTTCTGTTTTTGATGGTGCCAGGGATGGAGCCCATGGCATTGTACATTCCAGGCAAGTACTTACCGCTGGGTCACACCTCCAGGCCCAAAGTAGCACTCTTAAGAATTACTTGAAAAGATAACACATTCAGATCTGACATAAAAGGGTTTGCAGGCTGGCTAGGAAAGTTCTCTTGCCTTGGACCCTCCCCCTGGTCACCAACCTCTCCAGGGTGTGCCAGTGTCAAAGCACTGCTGTTGCCTCCCAAACCCACAGTGTCTCTCTGGGTCCCGAGACCATTTGACAGAGAAGACAGATGACACTCAGGGAAGGGGCCCTGAATGAGGGTACACAGCCAACCAGTGAGAACCCTGCTATCTGGGCTGTTGCTGAGACATGGCCCCATTTTGGTCATACTGTGCTGGATGGGTCAGCCTAGGAACATGCTGTCTGCCTATCCTGTGATGTGATGTGCTTACCAGTGGTCAGCTTAGGGAGTTGGCTGGCCTTTGGCCTGCTGTCCATCCTAGTGTGACTGGCTGACAACTTGTGACCTTTATGTCCACGGCAGGTGTGGGAGAGCCTCTAGTGAGCTCCCAGAGTGGACAGAGTCCTCCAGAATCACAGGAGCCTGAGGCTCCCAGCTCCTCAGGCCCAGGATGCCTAGGCTTCCTGGATAAGGCAGGCAGGGGCCCTGTGGAGCCTGGTGTGAGCCAGTCAGATGCAGAGAACACAGTCCCCTCCTGCCAGGATGAACCCGATGCCCCACCCCGCCGCCGGGGGCGGCCCTCCAGGCGTTTCCTAGGCAAGAAATACCGCAAGTAGGTACAGTTGAACTGAGGTGAGTGTGTACAGCTGGTGGAGGGCTCCTGGGAGCCTGCAGCCCAGCTATTCTCCCTCCACACCTTCCTGGCAGGTACTACTACAAGTCACCCAAGCCTCTGCTGAGGCCTTATTTGTGCCGCATATGTGGCTCACGCTTCCTATCCCATGAGGACTTGCGCTTCCATGTCAACTCCCATGAGGCCGGTGACCCACAGCTCTTCAAGTGCCTGCAGTGTAGCTACCGATCCCGCCGTTGGTCCTCGCTCAAGGTGTGTTGGCCTGGAGGTCACAGGGCAGAGGAGTCACCCAGCAGGGTGTGGAGTTCCCCAAGCACCCTGGCCACCCAGCTTGTGAAGGATACTTAGCTCTTCCAGCCCTGCAGGGACATGGAGTTCTGTAGAGGGCTTCATGGTGTACAGTGAATGGCACCTCGTTTTCAAGGGTGCAGTTCACACTGCAGAACTGTAGATTTCTTCCCTGTTTCTGAACTGGTGCTGTGGGTGGTTTCCCCACATCCAATATTAGAGTCTTTCCAGCAGGTAGCAGTAGCGTGTCTCAAAAAAGCACTCCTTTTCTCTTACCCTGGGCCAGCTGGCAGCAGCAAGGGCCTGAGTAATGTCATTGAGTGGCCCAGTGAGGTTCTAGTTGTCGACTGTATTGGTTTACTGACCTAGAACACTGCAGCTTGGCCTCAGCAATGTGCTGTAGCAAGCTGGGGGTATGGGAGATCCTTTAGGCCCTAGCCAACAGTCCTGTGCCGTCTCCAGTGTGTTGCTTCTTCCTATGTAAATGCCTGAGACCTGGAGTTGTTCACTGAGTGGGTGTCCTGTAGAGCAGTGGGAAAGGCATGGGCTATGGAGCCACGTTGCCAGGATCAGCTCCAAGCTTTGCTACTGCAGGGTGCCTTCACTCTGAGCCACAGTTTTGTTCAGTGGTAAGCCAGCAGGGCATGGTGGTGCATGTCTTTAATTCCAGCACTCGGGAGGCAAAGGCAGGGGTATCTCTGTGAGATTGAAACGACCTGCCTGATCTACTTAGTGAGTTCCAGGCCAGCTTGGGCTACAGGTAGACCCTGTCTCAAGAAAACAAAAAACAAAAACAAATGGTGAGCCAGCACAGTGCCTGGCACAGTAAGTGCTCTCTCTGGAGAGAATCCCTATCCTTCACAGGCTGTGACCCAGGCAGCTGGTTTCCTATCCGCACTGTCACCCCAAGATGTGATAGGTGGGTAAGGGGATGCTGAGCCCGCAGCCCACTGTCTGCCTCTTCTAGGAACACATGTTCAACCATGTAGGCAGCAAGCCCTACAAGTGTGACGAATGCAGCTACGCCAGTGTCTACCGGAAGGATGTCATCCGCCATGCAGCTGTGCACAGCCGGGACCGGTCAGTGGGTTGTGCAGGGGCGGTGAGGGCTGGCAGAGAGAACCTGGGCCTGTGTGGCCCAGGACCACCATAGGTCCCATGTACCACATCTGCTCTGAGCCCATCTCATTCACATGGTTTTAGAGACAAGAAGAAAGGCCAGGTGAATCGTCCCTGATTACTTATCTGACCAGAACCCTCAGAGCCAGGGCCTTGGGGTCCCCAGTTCAGGTTCTTAATGGGAGCTTTGGTTTCTCATCTGGAAAATGGAAGCAGCTGTTGAGGGGACTGAGGGAAGTTTTATGCCTGCAGGAGTTGCTAAGTCCTGAAGGCCTTGAGCCAACCATGTGCAGACCCCTCTCTCGGTGCTGTGGAGCAGATGAGGACTGGGAAAACAGATGTTCGTGGGCCTGGTGGCTGCTCTGAGTTACAGCCAGGTCTGTGACTTGAGCAGCATTAGCAGAGGGTGGGAACAGAGACTCCTGGGGCTCTGATTCAAGCAGGGTATGTGAAAAGGGCAGTGTTCTAAGATGCACACAGGTTTTCTAAAAGAAGAGTTCTGTCACCAACTAGACTCTGGTCACCAGGTTGAATGCCTATTCTCTAGTAGCTCTCTTTGCTGTGGGCTTCCCTAAGCCTGTAGTTCAAAAACGTATTGTGTGATTGGAGCAGAGAAAAGGCCCTGTCCTAGATGAGCCAGCTACAGGACATGCCACCTCAGCTTTCTCCCCAGTGGACTCCTGCTGGTTAGGTGCGGGTCTGGAAGAGGAGCATGCTCAGGCCTGAGACCAGGTCTTAGTGGACATGAGAGGACCCACGTGGGCTTGGGAAGTCCTAGTTTAATACCTGATTCCTCCTTTTCCAGGAAGAAGAGGCCGGATCCGGTGAGTGTGGGGCCCTGGCCTGGGAAGGGAGCCTGTCACGACTGCTGATGGGCAGAGTAGACAGGAGGGGAGTGCTCCCTGCTGTCTCCCTTTCTCTTTCCATCTGACCTCTTGTACCTTCCCAGACCCCAAAGCTGAGCTCTTTCCCTTGCCCCGTGTGTGGCCGTGTGTACCCCATGCAGAAGAGACTAACACAGCACATGAAGACACACAGCACTGAGAAGCCTCACATGTGTGATAAGGTGGGTGGGGCCGAGGGATGAGCTGTGGCTGGGGAGGGCCTTCTCTGAGCTGTCCCCCATCTAACTCCACTCACCTGAATTCCCCACAGTGTGGAAAGTCCTTTAAGAAGCGTTATACCTTCAAGATGCACCTGCTCACACACATCCAGGCTGTTGCCAACCGCAGGTATATCCCCATGAGAGGTCCCTGGGATGGGAGAAACCCCCCCCCATCTGAGTTTCCCTCCTTCATACTGCCTCCAGGTTCAAGTGCGAGTTCTGTGAGTTTGTTTGTGAGGATAAGAAGGCACTGCTGAACCACCAGTTGTCCCATGTTAGTGACAAGCCTTTCAAATGCAGCTTTTGTCCCTACCGCACCTTCCGAGAAGACTTCTTGCTGTCTCATGTGGCTGTCAAACACACAGGTCAGGCCAGGCACATCCAGCAACCCCCTCCCACTCTCAAGTTCTCACATGTCCATCAGAGGCTCGGCTTTTGTCCTCTTCCTAGTAGCCTGAGCCAACTTGTTCTATAAAAGGATCCCTGTGGCCTGTCTCCTCTGCCTTGAGCCCAGTTCCAGCTCAACAGCTGGGTCAGTGGCCTGCTCTGTCTGCCTCAGTTTTGAAAGAGGGAAATGGGGATGCAGAGCATGTCATGGTTATGAAGGTGACCCTGAAAACTGCCCCTGGCAAGAAGGCTGAGTGTGGAGGCAGCCCCTGGTCCTATCTGCTCTGGTCCACCAGCATGTTTGTCCAAGGGTGGGCATGACTTGCTAGAGTGAGGCTGGGGGCCCATGGGGCCAGGGAAGTCCTCAGAGGGTGGGTGCAAGCGTGCCCTGTACCTGCAGGGGCCAAGCCCTTTGCTTGCGAGTACTGCCACTTTAGCACTCGCCACAAGAAGAATCTGCGCCTGCACGTGCGATGCCGACACGCCAGCAGCTTTGAGGAGTGGGGACGGCGCCACCCCGAGGAGCCCCCCTCCCGCCGCCGCCCCTTCTTCTCTCTGCAGCAGATAGAGGAACTGAAGCAACAGCACAGTGCGGCCCCCGGCCCACCACCCAGCTCACCAGGACCTCCTGAGGTAGGCCTGGCCTAGGGGGCAGCAGACAGCACAGGCCAGGATGGTATCGTGATGCCATCTCTCCTAACCCAGTGCCCTCGTTTGCACATTGGGATACACAGAATGATCCACCTCTGTAGTAGAGGACCAGCCAAGCTGTAAGCTCAGCAGAGGGGTGGCATATCCAGCACAGGATATGCCACTACTTAATTGTGACATTACCTTGTTCCCACATATAAAATAATTCTGAAGCTCAGCAGTCCAGAGCTTGTGTGGTCCCAACCCTGGTGGTTGAGGACCAAGCTCTCTACTTTGGCACAACTGCCCTAGAATATGACTTCCATCCTGGTGACTATCTTCACAGTCCATAGCTACAGGGACACCTTCCCAGTCGCATTCCAGGCAGGAAGCAAGAGGAAGGGGTGGGAGCAAATCTTAAAAAGGTACTGCCATCTACCCATCTGTCTTCCTCGTGAACCTCCCCAGAGTCCCTTACCTAGCTACATGGCCACAGTTTACTAGTCATGAGGGAGGCTGAGAAATGTAGTCTTGAGGATGGGTATGTTGCCTTCCCTATTGAAACAAAGAATGCTGTCAGCAAGAAAGAAGGTAAAAGGGCCAGCAACATGGCTCAGTAGGGTAAGGTGCTTGCTACCAAGCCTAATGACCTTTGATCTCCAGGTCCCACATGGTGGAAGGAGAGAGCTAACTCCCAAAAGTTGTCTTCTGAGCTGCATACATGTGCTGTGACACTTGAGGCCACATACATACACAATCAATCAATCAATAAATTAAAAATTAGTTAATTAAAAATAAATAAATAAATAAAGGCAGGTGGATCTCTGTGAGTTCAAGACCAGCCTGTTCTACTTAGTGAGTTCCAGGCCAGCTGGAGCTACAGGGCGACCCTGTCTCAAAAATGATAAAAAATGAAAGCACAGTGGAGTGGATTGGGGTAAGCAGCTGTTCTGTCATGGGAGCTCCCAGTGGCCCAAGAAGACAGCTGCACAGAGTGCTGATGGTAAGTGCATACATAGGCTTTGGAATCCAGTCCTTGGCTTCAAGTCCTGGCCTTTCACCTTTCCCAGCCTCACACCATGTCTCTATAGCACTAAGATGGTAAATATCTCAAAAAAAAATGACAGTGAGATGAACAAGGGAACAGGTGGGAAATGGTGACATCAGAGGTGCTTGGGAAATACACTTGAATCTGAGAGGGCCACTTCTCTCAGACTTCACCCTTTCCCCTCCCAGGCCCCCCAAGAGCCAGCACCTTTCCAGCCACCTGAGACTCCCCCACTACTCTGTCCTGAAGCCCTGGGTGGTGCCACCATCATCTACCAACAAGGTGAGTCTTCAGTGAGGCAGGGAGTGAGGTGGGAGAGAGGATGAGGGTGGTATTGGGTGCCAGGTGTCCAGCCTACTCAAGCCCAAGTTTCACCCTACCCAGGAGCTGGGGAGTCCACTGCAATGGCCACACAAACAGCCTTGGATCTGCTATTGAATATGAGCACCCAGCGGGAGCTGGGGACCACTGCCCTACAGGTGAGCAGCCAAGACCTCCCCCTCCCCAGCTACTGTACATTGCAGGTGTGTGCTGGACACTGTGAGCTTCCTACAGGCAGGGTAGATTGGACAGATTGGGGGACAGATCAGCCTAAACTCGAAGGAGTTTAAACTTGAAGGAACTGGCTCCTGTGGATCTTTCCAGTGCACTCTAGTTACAGTGACTGTTGCTGTGCTGTGGTGCATGGCTACTGCCATTGCTCCCAGGCCTGCTTCTGTTTGTCTTGCTTCCTCACTGTGTCTGCTGCTCCTGTGGGCCTAAAGAGGCTTTCTGTGTAGTTACACCTGCCCCCTATACCTGTTGCCAGAACACCTCCAAGGCCTTGTCTAGCCCCAGGCACTCTCTGACCTTCCAACAACCTTGACATCACAGTCTCATACCCCATACATCTCCTGGTTCATCATTATCCTTCCTTCCTTCCTCCATCCCCACATCCCACCCCATCTCCAAGACATAGGGAAGCTCACTAGCACCTCTGTGTTCCAGCCTCTTGAATGAAGGGCGAACCAGACATGTACCTGAACTCCAAGCACTTGGACAGTGCAGGCAGGAGGATAAGGGATTCCAAGGCCAGTCTTGGATGTATGAGTTTGAGGCCAGCCTGGGACACATGAGACCCTATCTCAAAAGAATAAAAGTTCAATTCAGAAGGTGGAAGTCCTTAACATGCCTCCCTTGCCCTCAGATAGCCAGTTATTGGACTCAGAAGAATTGCTCCAAGATTGTGTTCAGGCTCCACCCATCGCCTGCAGGTGCCTTTAAGAACAGGCTCACCCAGTTCATGCTCCTCAGTAGTGTTTCTGTTCTTCACTGTGCAGGATGGGCTGCGCCAGGCTGCCATGTGGGTGCTGGGAACCAAACCTGGGTCCTCTGCCAGAAAAGCCAGTGCTCTTAACCAGTGAGCCATCTCTCCAGCCCTTTTTTTTTGTTTTTTTGAGACAAGGTCTTTTGTAGCCTTGGCTGGCCTCAGATTTGTTATGTAGGGGATGGAGAGATGGCTCAGCGGTTAAGAGTACTGACTGCTCTTGCAGAGGACTCGGGTTCGATTCCCAGCACCCACATGGTAGCTAACAATCATCTCTAACTTCAATTCTAGGGGAATCCAAAGCCCTTTTCTGATCTCTACAGCATTGAACGACACAGGTGCACTCACATACATGTAGGCAGTACACTCATACACATAAAATAAAAATTAAAAAAAAAATTTGTTGTGTAGCCAAGGATAGCTTTGAATGCTGATCCTCAGACTGCCACCTCCTCAGTACCACTGCCTCCTCACTACAGACGTGTGTCACCACACCTGGCTATCTTTTTACGTAACGGTTTGCCTCTTCTCCCTCTATTCTTGGTCACAGCACTGCTGACATTTTGGGCCAGCCAGTTCTGTTGTGGAGGCTGTCTTGCACATTACCACTACATGCCAATTCTGCTGTGACACTTAGGTCAGCAGACATTGCCAGATGCCCTGGGGCAGGGCCCATTCTTGCAGCTGTCTGTAGTTGGCACATGGGCTTTGGAATGTCAGTGTGTTTAGGAACTCCTTGGTATACAGGGTGAGTGGTGTCATCAGAGGCTGTGGCAGGAAGAAGGACGGGCACCGAGATGGGTCTTGAACATCGGTGCTGTTGCAGGTGGCTGTGGTGAAGTCAGAGGGTGTGGAGGCGCAGTTGGCATCTCCTGGTGGGCAGCCTTCCCCAGAAGACACCACTCCACAGGTGGTGACACTCCACGTGGCAGAGACGGGGGGCAGTGTGGCAGCCCAGAACCAACTAGGCCCCCCTGATCTACAGCAGATCACCTTGCCACCTGGGTCATTTGGTGGGGCCGGCTGCCGTGTTGTCACAGCACCCCCTGTGGAGGAGGGGACATCAGCTCCTGGTACACCATACAGGTAAATTGCCTTCTTTCTGCAAGGCCACTTTCAGTCATGTATAGGCACTCCCCACTCCAGACGTTAGCACTAGACAGAGTCCAGGTTTGTAGAGTGCCAGGCAGTAGGTCATTGTGTTCTGCACAGTTTGGCAGCTGCCATTTTTTGGTCATTAGCTGTTCTGGGAACTTGGTACTAATGATCCTCTCTAGCTAACTCCTAGGAGATCTATTTTGGCCTTTGACAAATGAGGAAACAGACCAGTGAGGCCAGTGAGGTTAAGAACTGCCTAGGTCACATGCCCAGGAGGTTCCCAGTCCCATGTGCTCTTTTTGAGACAGGGTCTCTGTTGTAGCCCCAGCTGGCCTTGAACTTCCTATGTAGACCAGGCTGGCCTCAAACTCAGAGATCCACCTGCCTCTGCCTCCCAAGTGCTGGTATTAAAGGCATTCTCCACCACACCTAGCCCCATGTACTCTGGTGTTCTTGGGTGCTTTCAGTTCTGATGGTTGAAAAGAATTGGATGGGCTCCTTTGCTGAGGAGCCACCTGGCACCTGCACTTGGTTTCCCTATGATGCAAGTTTGGGGCAAAATGTTTATTTGTTCACCGAATTCTTGGGCCACCTGCGGGAGTTCTAGATCTGGGTGCTGGGTTGGGGATCAGGAGCCCTGGGCCAGCATGTGTACAAGGCACCTCAGCCTCTGCCCTCCCTTCTTGGGCTTCTGGTGGCAGATCCATTCCATTGCTTGGCCCTCTTCTTGTCTCTCTTGGCCAGACCTGAACAGGATTCCTGGAGTGTTTCCCCTTGCCCACCAAGGGGATGGGGATCATCCCTTAAGCAGGGCTAGGCACTGAGCTCTTGGTAATCACTTAGAGAAGAGACAGCTAGAGGCCCATGTGGTCCAGGCTCACCCAGGCTCCTCCAATTCAAGTCAGCCTGTGGTGGCCTACTTTCAGTTGATGCCTATTGCTTGGGGAGGGATTCCTGTGGCCCTCCATCCTACCCTCGAACCCTTCATGCCTCCACTTCTCTGCCCTCAGCGAGGAACTCCCAGGGGAGGCAGCGCAGGCTGTGGTTGTGAGTGACACCCTTAAGGAACCTGGCACCCACTACATCATGGCAGCTGATGGGACCCAGCTGCACCACATTGAGGTAAATCTTGGAACAGCCACCCTACCAGGTCTCCTGCCCCCTCCCTCTCAGCACCTCATGCTGTGGGCTCTCTCTACAGTTGACTGCAGATGGTTCCATCTCCTTCCCAAGCCCGGATGCCCTGACCTCTGGAACCAAGTGGCCCCTCTTGCAATGTGGGGGGCTGCCCAGAGATGGCCCTGAGGTCCTGTCTCCAGCCAAGACCCACCAAGTAGGGCCCCCCCAAGGTTCTGCCTCCCCTCCTGTGGCCAGCAAAGCCCTGGGCCTGGTGGTACCTCCCTCACCTCCATCAGCAGCAGCTGCGTCATCAAAGAAATTCTCCTGCAAGGTGTGCGCAGAGGCCTTCCCAGGCCGGGCTGAAATGGAGAGTCACAAGCGGGCCCATGCTGGGCCTGCTGCCTTCAAGTGCCCTGACTGTCCCTTCAGTGCCCGCCAGTGGCCCGAGGTCCGGGTAGGTGCTCCCCCATTGTGCCTCGGCTTCCATTCCTGTGTCCACTCGTTCTTGTAAGAACTCTTTACTGAGCACTCCTCGAGCCAAGTACTCTGCTCCCCTCTAGGTTCAGAGGGGACTCAGCAAGATCCCAGCTCTCTGGTAGCTGCTTGGTCAGGAGACCAACTAATGCCAGAGCAGTTCCCAGTGTGAAGGCCGGAGAGTACAAATCGGGGGCCGCAAGTCATTGGACAGGGTGCTGGGCAGACCCCAGAGGTGGAGGTAGGGGTAGAGGTAGAGCCAGGCCATGAGAGCACAGACACAGAGGGGTTGATATGTGGGTAAAGACTGGAGCTGCTGAAGACAGGGCACAGAAGTTTAAGGCCAGTGAAGGGATGCTGCAAAGACAGCAGGACAGCTCCTGGGACATTTCTGGAGCTCCCTACACTTCCCTGAGGGAAGCTTCCAGTTTTCAGAGCTAACCCAACACTGCATCCTGAGCCTAGAGCCCCACCCTTCAGATGAGAAACTGAGGCCCAGTTAGCCAGGACCAAGCCCTAGCATGCTGGCAGTCCCTCAGCAGCATCTCTTAAGTTACCTACAATACAGTGCCATGGGCTTAGACAGAAGTGCCTAAGTGACATAATGGTGCCACAGCAGACAGTCCCAATCGGGCCTGTTTTTTTGGTCTCACTCCTCATGGGCACACGGGTTTGATTTTCCTGGGGACTTGCTGCCTTCCATCCTAATCTGGCAGTGCCTGGCCTCTACCCTGTGCAGGCTCACATGGCACAGCACTCAAGCCTGAGGCCCCACCAGTGCACTCAGTGCAGCTTCGCCTCCAAGAACAAGAAGGACTTGAGACGGCACATGCTTACACACACCAACGAGAAGCCTTTCTCATGCCACCTCTGTGGGCAGCGGTGAGGCTGGGCACAACTTGGGGTGGCAGACCTCTGGACATGCCTGGTGGAACTTTGTTGAGCCACCTCCTTCCTCCTCAGTTTCAATCGGAATGGGCATCTCAAGTTCCACATCCAGCGGCTACACAACAGTGATGGTAGAAAGGCTGGGACTCCTACAGCCCGGGCCCCAGCCCGGACCCCCACCCAGACTATCATCCTCAACAGCGATGAAGAGACATTGGCCACACTGCACAGTGAGATACCCCTGGGCCATAGGGTGGACTGGGTGCGTGCAGGGGCTGGAACCACAGCTTAAGGGTACTTATGGGCTGGGGCATTCAAGTCTCCCCAGAATGCCTAGGTAAATACCCTCCTCTCTGCCCAGCTGCCCTCCAATCCAGTCATGGGGTCCTGGGTCCAGAGCGGCTACAGCAGGCACTGAGTCAGGAACACATCATTGTGGCCCAGGAGCAGACAGTGACCAGTCAGGTAAGAACCAGGGCGGGGGACCCTGCAGAAAGGATGGGACAGACAGAATTGAGGCTAGAGGGGCTGAAGAGATAGCTCAAAGGTTAAAAGTGTTTGCCTGCACAATCACAGGACCAGAGTTCAGATCTCAGTTCCTACCACATAACAAACTGAGTGTCTAGGATCCTGTGCATCCCTATAAGGCCAGCTAGGAGGTGGAAGGAGACAGAAAGATCCCTGGGACTCCTCCTAGCTGAGAAAATGTGAGCTCTAGGTTCAAGGAGAGAACCTGCCTCAAAGGAATAAAACTAAATGTAGAGCTCACTTGGCCTTGGCAGGAGGAAGCTGCCTACATCCAAGAAATCACCACAGCAGATGGCCAGATGGTACAGCATCTAGTGACCTCTGACAACCAGGTGAGCTGTTACTTGCCCCACTTCAGCCTTGATCTCCTGTATCTTTATCCGCCACCTGTGCCAGAGCCTTAGTCCTCCATTGCCCTCCTACTTGAGCTGAGTGGGCCCTAGCACCTGCCGCCTCCCACCCTTTAGGTACAGTATATCATCTCTCAGGACGGCGTCCAACACCTACTACCTCAGGAGTACGTTGTGGTCCCCGATGGCCATCACATCCAGGTAGGCCAGGTCTCAGACAAGGTGGGATTTGGAGCAAGGCTGCACAGCCTCTTTCTGGGATCACCGGCCACCTTCTTGTTTCCAGGTCCAGGAGGGCCAGATCACACATATCCAGTATGAGCAAGGTGCCCCATTTCTGCAGGAGTCCCAGGTACGTGGCTTGGGGGGCCAGGCAGAACTTGAGTAGGCTCCTGTGGGGCTATACATCTCATTGGCTTCTCCCATCCAGATCCAGTATGTGCCTGTGTCCCCGGGCCAGCAGCTTGTCACCCAAGCTCAACTTGAGGCTGCAGCACACTCCGCTGTCACAGGTATGGGACAACTGATGGCCAGGAGACTGAGGCCAGGCCTAGCTCCTAGGGCCTCAGGCTTACTGTGCTTTTCCTTCCCCTGGCAGCAGTGGCCGATGCTGCCATGGCCCAAGCCCAGGGCCTATTTGGCACTGAGGAAGCAGTGCCGGAACACATCCAACAGCTGCAGCACCAGGGCATCGAATACGACATCATCACCCTGACGGATGACTGAGCCCAAAGGGCCCAACGCAGATCTTGGATATCGGGGCCAGCTCTCCTGGGGAATGGGGGGACACACCTTCCTGTCCTACTTAGGGTCTCCAGATACGGGACAGCCAGCATCCTGTGACTCCAGGGGGAGCCAGACTTGTGCTGGGGAGGGGGAGCATGACAGGGCAGCAATGGGCCTCAGCCAGGACATGCTGGGGGCCCCAGCCTGCAGGCAGGCTTTGGGAGAGAAATTTATTTTTGTTGTTTGGGTGGACCTGCTGGCCCCTTAGTCTCAATAAAGGGACTAGAGTCCAGCCCTTGCCAGCTCTCTTTGTATATTTACTAATAACTGGAACAAGGCAAGGACCAGGAAATAGCAGAAGTCTGAATAGCTCCCAACAGAAGTTGCCTGGCTTTGAAGTCAGCTGGCCCTGCCTCTATTATGTATGGTGGTCCCAGAATAGGGCAAATCAGCCTGATCCTCAAGAGGATGGAGCTGGAGAAAGCCCTGCTTCCTCCTTGGGGCTCCCTGTCTGCAGGGCCTCAGAGGGCAGATACTATATACTCTGAGGCCTCTCGGGGCTCTGAAGCTGGCTTCCTCCCCAGCCTTGGCTATAAAACCCTTAGCAGCTGCCTGTTCATGGGTGAGGACCCATGAAGGCAAGGGGTCATAAGAGGCACCTAGATGCAGTAGAAAGTGGTCACAGAGGCAGCTGCCCCAAAGCCCTCACAACACTCTCAGGGAGTTTTTGTATTTCCTTTTACAAATGAAACAAGGCAGCAACAGGGGTCAGTGTGGGACTGGGGTGGCACGGGCCTATGTACAAGGGGCTTGGGTTGAATCTGAGGTGGGGATAGGGAAGGGAGGGGGAGCCCTGGCAGACCCATAATATTCCTATGTCAGTGGCAGCCCAAGTCCTGCTGCCACCCCAGGTAGGGGGGCCCTGGAGCCTGCTCAGCCTAGAGAGGCCTGAGTCCCAGCAGTCTGTAATGGCAGTCCTGGGGCTCTTCCTCCCCACAGAGTATGTTAAGTGGGGTGAGGCTCGCGGCTAGGGCCCTGATCTCGGCCTGAGTCTCGGTCCTTGGCCTCAGAGGAGGATGAGGAAGAGCTGGAGCCATGGCTGCGGCCTGACTGCTTATAGGCAGTGGTGAGCTCCTGCAGCCGCTCAGGTGTTGGCCCCCACTTGGAGAAGCCGGGGTCATTCTGGAGGAAGAGCACAGCCGTGTTGTGGACAGCCTTGTAGTGCATCTCCTCCCTGTGGGCAAAGGCAGCTGCTCAGGGTAGGGCTTGGCCTGGCCTGCTCATCCAGCCAGCCAGCCCGACCCTCCTTCCTTCCCCTGCCTCCCTGGCACCCACTTCTTGCAGATGTGCTGGGAGCCACTGCGGTACTCGTGCTCAAAGGCAGGCAAGATCAGCTGGTGGCGTTTGAAGCGGCTCTGCTCCATTCGGGTGAGCGCTGGTGTGGGGGGCTCCCGCCACTCAGGGATGAACACAATGAAGGACAGGGGCTCTAGTGAGCTCTCTAGCAGTTTCTGTGGGAGGGAATACAGGGTGGACATGAGATGCTGCCCTCCAGGGGGCTTGCAATTCTGCCTGCCCTCGTCAGTTGGCAGCACACCCACCTCGAAGTGAGAGACCATAGCATCCATGAGCTCCTCGCAGAATGGAGGGTTGGCCTCAAAGGAACCACTCAGCGGGTTGAAGTCCAGGCAGGGCCTACAGAAAGAGGTGAGCATTTGAAGTCCCACTAGCACCAGTCCCTCAGGCAGACACATGCCATCCCCACCCCTAGGCAGTCATAGGAGGTAACCATGGCCAGGCCAAAGGCCAACATTCACCCTTAACTGTCCAGGATAAGGAAATGACCATGTCCACTGAATAGGTGTCTGAGAACAGAGGCTCTGGTGTCTGTGTTCGCCAAGCTAAGGAGCTAGAGTTCAAAGCCACCACAGCAGAAGTCATACCTGGGGTGTCCCTGGCAGCTGAACACCAGGCCTCTTTCCTTCCACCAAGCAGGTTCTTCCTGCTGGAGAGTTTACCTTGTCCTCTGTGGCCCTCCTCACCCTACTACTTTTGAGGTCTACCTCACTATGTCATTCCTCAGTGCCAGGTGCTCTATTCCAAACCTGAGCTAATTCACTGAGAAGCCCACAAACCATATTAGTATCTGTCACATGCCTGCCCACAAAGCCAGCAAAGTAGAGGCTCCCAGAAGTTGTGTATCTTGAGGTCACACAGCTGGCAAATGGTGAAGGCAGGGGCTACCCCAAGATATCAAGCAGCTGTGCTTTGAGGACATCTGTCCAAGCTTGGGCAGAAGGCTTAGCCCCCCACCCCAAGCTCTCACCCTCGGGAGCCAAAGTAGCCATCTGTGTCCGGGAAGGCAGAGCAGTACTGGCGGAAGTAGCAGTTGAGGGGTGAGGCGAAGCACTCAAAGCTGACACCGAAAAGTCGGTGGAGGGCCTCAAAGACGTGTACAGGCAGTGATCCCTGCAGACCAGTCCCCTCATAGAGGCCCACACCAAACATCATCTGCAGAGGAACCATAGTGTCAGGCTTGGTCTTCTTGCTCCCCTCAAGAGGAACCCTCCCCTGGCCCCAGTACCTGGTATCGTCGGAGAAGACACCATACTCGAGGCAGGAACCTCTCAAAGGCAGAGTCATCAACACAGCCATAGCGGTAAAGAAGCCACTGTGGGACAGAAAATGGGGCCTCAGTGATCTCTTGCCCTTATCACTGGCTACCTGCCAAGACTCTGATCAAAGAAAATCCTAGGCCCCCCATTTATGCCACCAGCTAGGGCCTCCCTCCCCTGCCTCTTACCAGCTTGCTGAAGTAGTTACGGCTGACCTTGACCATCTCTCCCTTATAGCGGATGCAGACCACATTATTCTCCATGTGCATCTCCACACTAGGCATGGGGGGTGCAGACACGGCCAGCCGCACTGGGTAGCAGTACACCAGGCGGGGCTCCAATTCTGAGGCTTCCACCTCCTCTGTGGGCAGGGAGAACAGTGAGGGATTTCTTGGCTCTGCACAGCCTTAGCACCTGCTATGTTTTCACACATCAGTAAAGTGGCTTGGACAGCTTCAGTAGCAAAGGGAACAAAAAGCCATTAAAAACACCACCAAGCAACTGGCATTAATTGGTGGCCTGTGTCAACACTGAAGCAGGCACCATCATAGCTTATTTGAGGATGTTTGGGTCCCAAGCAGTTTCCTATGAACACATGATCCTGTGGCAGGTATTAGCACTTGAGACTCAGCCTCGTTTGTTCCTTCAGCTGAGGCCTGGGATACAGACAGGATGACATCACACCTGGCTCCAACCTTGCCCCTACCTGGGATGTTGTTTTCCTTGAGGATGGCAAGGTGTTTTTCTCGGATCCGTTTAACATATTCCAGGGAGATGTGGTAGATCTTACTGCAGATGCCCTCCACAGAATCCTTGGCTGCAGCTGAGACATGAGGCCCACACTGCCTCCTCAGGTGCTCCAGGCGGTCCTGGAGAAAACCCCTGGTCAGGACACTTGCAACCCAGTGGGGCTGGCAAGTAACTGCTAGGCTGTTGGACTCCAGTCCCAACTTTGAAACTGGCTCTGGTTATTAGCTGTGTTGCTTGGACAGATCCCCTGGCTTCTCTGAATCTTCCCAACTATCAAGGGAACACAAGCAACAGGACACTGATTGGTAAATTCTCCTTCAGGACAGACCAAGCCCCTGGCACTAAGTGTCCAATGAACACCAGTTTTGTTGCAGTTGCACTGGCAGAACCCATGATAATCAGTGGACAGACAAGCCAAGCAGGACCCCAGCTTACAGCATTTGCAGTCTACTGGGAAGGTGATTATGGCATAGGGAACTCGGTTGGTGCTAACGGTGGTGCTTTTACAGCATTTGCTTGTAGAAGTGAGTCACTAGGTATCAGATACACAGTTAACTATGGTGTAGCACAAAACTTTGCCTCCTGTGAAAAGTGGTCCTGAAAAGAAAGCCCATTGCTAGTGCTGGTGGAGATTTAAATGACTAGTCTGAGCTCGAGAACAGAAGGGTAATGGACACACTAAGAACAGGAAACTGAATCTGATGGTGGCTTTTAATTGTACAGTGAACAAACACAGCTTGTAGATCTGTTCTCAGAAACATTCTTGGAGATGTTGAATACTCATTAGGTAGAAAAGGCAGCTGCTTGTATGTGGCTGAGCTGCAGGCTATTAATGTTAATGGAGCCGGGTGTGGCTCACTTCTTTAGTCCCAGCACTTGGGAGGCAGAGGCAGGCAGATCTCCAGATCTCTGAGATGGAGGCCAGCCTGGTCTATAGAGTGAGTTCCAGGTCAGCTGGGGCTACAGGGAGATCCTGTCTCAAAAAAGACCAAAAAAAAAAAAAAAAAAAAGGGTTAATGAAAAATTTTTTTGGGGAAAAGCACAAAGGGAGAAAAA